TAAAACTAATTTAGGCCATGTTTTCTTCATTTTATTTGCTGCATTGATGTTTTTACTAAACTAAAATTATATTTGCCGAATTAAATTTATATGTACTAAATTGAAACTAATTTTGCTGAATTGAAAGTATATTTTCTAATTATCTATCATATTTTTTTTTCTTCAAAATTTATTGATTTTTACATAACTGAACTTATTTATAAAGAATATTTTATTTTTTATTTTTTTTTAAGATGGAAAGAACAAGACCTTAATGAAAAAATATCAAGTTTAATTAGTGTAAATAAAGCTGAAAATATATCAATGATCAATATGATTGTGAGTGTTTGGAAAGCGGACAAAGTAGAGAACAAAAAAATTATTTGAAAGAGTCGTAGGGAAGGGCAAGAGAATAGCTTTTAAATTCGGTGGACTATTTAAGGTAATTGGAAATGTTACAAACAAAAATGGAAAATTTGGATGATTTGTGTGACAAATGGAATTTCTAATTTAGAGTAACAATCATCCCCTCTTTTTTACTTGACCTTTTTCTTTTATCACGCTTGTCAATTCAAAACTTTAACGATCAATAATTTTAATTTTTCATAAGTAAAAATTATAAAAATTGTATATTATGATAATACTTATTGAGACGAATTCAAAAAGATCCCACATGAATATGTTTTTCCATACATATTATTCACAAAAGACGGTCAAAGAAGGGGTGATGAATAGTATAAAAGTCAAAGGTCAAATAAAAAAGAACGGAGGAAGTATTTTTTTATTCCCCTTATTTATAAAAGTTTAATAGCTAAATTTAAAAAGCTACAAAAGGTTGTCTAGTGATTTTTCATGTGGTAATTGAGATACGCCAGATGCGTGGAAATGATTAGTTTGAGAACTTCAGTAAGCATTTAATGTTCAGATTATCAAATCCGATCCTTTTCATTTATCTTAGCTCATGAATAATATCTATGCCTTGTTATTAAATCATCAAAACTAACATATTTACATGTAGGTAAGGATGTGCATTCAAATCCAAATAAATCCACACTAGAAAGCTGCATACATCCGACCAAGGACAAATTTGGATCAAATGCAAACCATACTAACTGTTGTCGCAGCTCTATTAGCAACAATTACATTTGCAGCTGGATTTACACTCCCTGGTGGTCTAAATAGTGAGAGTGGCAAAGCCATTCTAGCAACGAATCCAACATTTCTAGTATTTTTACTAGCAGATGCATACGCCATGTGCATGTCCATGCTGGTGTTGTTTTGCTTGATATGGTCTATGCTTTCGGACCATGATATGTCAATTTTACTGGTTGATCGCAGTGTATATATACTCATGCAAGCCCTTTATGGCACAATGGTAGCCTTTACGACCGGTATCTACACCGTGGTAGCGCAAACTCGTGGGCAGGCATAATTATCTTCGTCATGTGCACTTTCATTGTTATTTCTGCGAATAAGATCGTTTTGCATACATTATTGTCAAGCAGTCCCTGCAGCAAATCTAGACCAATGGCTTGAGAAGGTAAGACAATTTTTTTTATAAACTAGTGCTGTTTTTCTAAATTTTATGAAGTATTTTCCTTTTCGATTTCATCCGTTTTTTAAGTCTTAATCATTTTGTTAAGGTCTGATTATTTAAAAATTCTTGTACACTTTATCTTTCTCCTGAGTATTAAAGCTAGAAAAAGGTATTGGTACTCAGATGGGTGCTCTCCTTTTTTATGTGTCTTAGTTTCTTTTGTTACTCCATGTTGTCATTTTATTTCAATATTGACACATACTTCACACAATACGAGTTTTATCATATACGTACTTCAGTAATTGAGTAAAGGAAAATGATATTCATTCCTCAGTTAACAAGGAAAATAACAATGACTTAAAGCAAACAAACATTTAATTAATCAACATGTGATTGTCATGAATTCCCAAAGTAAAATTAGGGAAATATATACAAGTATAATCAATATGTGCTTATAAAGTTATAATTACATGTATCATCAGCCTTAAATAAAATATGTTAGTCATTTTAAGATGTTCTCTCTAACATAGTTTCAATATTCCGTTATCCTCTACATTCTATAAATTGAAATATAAATTTGCTATAACCAAATTAAAATAAGCATGTCTTCAAATTAATTACTTATGATGCTAGTCAAACCGATTAAAACAGCATTGAATTTATGTTTCAGGGAAAACCACCCCATCGTAAAAATTATATTTCATTGGAAGAGCAAGAAAACTCAACCAACGCCAGGATACAAGACCTGGAAGAACATAATCCATTGCTTAAAGAGGTAATAAAATCACTTCTACTCCGTAGATTATATGGCTTCGTGTACAATTTATATGCTACCTCTTTTTTTAAAATCAGGTTTGTTTTGAAAAATATTATAAGGTTGTTTGTGACAAAATTTGTGTTTTATAAGGTACTTTGTGATAAAATTTGTATTTAACCGACAATATAACCTAAATGTGCTGTGGAAGTATTTAATTATCGCTTGATTAATGAATCTAATTAGTTCTTAAATTCTTGTACCAGCAAAATGCATCAACAACGAAGGGAACAAGTAGCAAGCTGCTTTACAATTTAGCTTCATTTGAGAGAGAAAAATGCAATTTCACAAAATATGGAGACGAGGAACCTAAATTACGAATTCTTGAAGAGGTAAATATCGTTCTAGGGTCAAAAATAATTGAGCTAAAGGTAGTTAAATTATTATCTTTACTAAAGGAAAATATCATCCTATATATGATTGTTGAAGGTTGTGAATTTGTGATCATTCTTAGTAATTTTACTTTTTGTATCAGGGGCAAGCATCTAATCCCGGAAACAATGACGCTAAAGCAGTTGGATCATGCGGCAAAGTCATTTCTCTAGGATAAAAAGCTATATTCTAAAATTAATCATGACGAGAAAGATACACTTCTAGTCTTCTTGAATAACTTAATTTTATACGTCATTTTTCTAGGATAAAAAGCTAATATTCTAAAATTAATCATGACGAGAAAGATATACTACTTTTTTGGGTCCCATTGTTAATATTTTGGTCAAACTATGAAATGTGTCACATATACCCCTTATTACACCAGTATCATGCCACTTCATAATTCAATAGCTTTTAGCATCAAGCCACATTAGATATAAATACTAAATATTCCCCCGTGTTTAAATAAATAAAACATTTTCCTTTTGCTGCCGTATTTAAATAAATGAAACGGTTTCTTTTTCAGTATTTTTTAATAATATTCTCTCTACTATTTAATAATATTCTACTAATTAGTGGTCCTCACAAATCCCCTAACTTTCTTCTTTCCTCAAACTTATACCACACTACATATTATTTAATAAATTTAACTAACCTTCCTAAAACTTTGTGAATCTCAAATGGTTTCATTTATTTAAACACGAAGGGAGTGCAAGTTTAAAAATGTAGAATATAAAATAAAAAAAAATAAAAAAAAAAACTATTATTGTCATTTTATTCAAATTTACTCACAATTAAAAATAAAATTAACAAGTGTTGTAAAGCGTTTAATATAATAACGGAATTATTCAAAGTTTAAACCTGAATAAAGTTCGGGTGACAAACTAGTTGTATATTTAATATTTGTTTATAGAGTAGTTTTCTTTGATATTTTTTAGTAGCCAACTGGTAAGTGATATTTTCCAAAAGTTGTTAGAAATTAATTACTGTCTCCGTCTCAGAATAACTGATACAATTCTTATTTTCGTTCGTCCCAAAATAATTGATACGTTACTAAAGATAGTATGGGACCACTAATCAAAAACTATTTTCCTCTACTCTTCCATGGCCCACTGATTTTTGGGAAACAATTTCAGTCATATAAAGTAATTAAAAGGATTCTTTTTACATTAAACAAATGTATAAAATGGTCTCAAGTAAAATTTTCTTAAACTATATGTCCATCTCAATGTATTAGATATTTTAGGACGGAGGGGGTATTATTTAAAGGAGCAATTTCCACTCTTGTAAGTTGTAACAAATGAATATTTTAATTCTAGTTTCATTTTAAAATTTTTGTTGGTAGTTAACTGGTACATTGACTCAGTGTATTATTTTTGTATAGTTGGTGTTTTTCTCTAGCAAAAATGTGAAGTGTATAATCTGCTGAGTTGTTATTTATCTATGGCAAAATAGTACTTGATTGAGTATATATATTATTTAAGAAATTTTGACTTTTATCACAAAAAAAAATACACCAAATATTTTTTTTATCATTCAAACTTCTCAAATTTTTATTTTATCAAAATAATAATTTTTAAATTTTTTTCACCGCTTGCCGTAAAAAAACCATTAAATCTCATGGAATTTAAAAAAAAAAAAATCGATTTTTGTGCCAAAGACAAGCTCTTTAATGATTTTGGGGGTCATTTTGGACCTTTGATACCGATTTGAGGTCACAATTGATAACCAACCATATTTGTAAATCACAATTAATAAGATAATTGTGGACAACTAGTCAGTTTCTTATTTATTACTCTCTTTGTCCCTAAATTAGAAACCTGTATTCCTTTTTGGGGTGTTCAAAATTAGAAGTTTGTTTCAATTTATAGGTTGTACTTTTTGACAATATTACCCTATTACTTTTGACATCAATTTCCAATACTTTCTCTCTCTATCTCTTCAATAATTCTCAATTACTTTTTCTTTCTCTCTTTCTAACTCTAACCCCACATGCATATTTATACTCCCAACCAACTTCCTTAATTCCCATGAAAAATGGAAAATAGGCTTCTAATTTAGGGACGAATGGAGTATGTTGTTTAATCAATTAATCACAATATCTAGCAATTACGTGTGCATTAATTTTCAACCGATTAATAAAATTTAGTTTGGAGCAAACTGAATATTTGTTTGTCTCTTAAAATTGCAAATTATACATATTACACTAAGAATCGAGTTGAGGCCAATACGGGCAAAATTGTGTTCTTGATTCAATTTCGTATTGTCGTTCCCAAATCCTCATATTTTTCGTTATCATGTATATGAAGTTAGCAATCTCAAGGATTGTGGAAGGAGAGACACATTCATAGATCAAATCGTTGATGTCTTCGGATTGATTTGTCTCTATCATAGTTTTCATATGTCGTTTTTGTTAATAATTCATAAACAGTTTACAAATTTCTTATAAATTTATTGGCGGCCCCCTACTTACTTTGCCGATATCCCATTCGATACGATGCCAATTATTTTTCTTGAATTCCATCGTATGATTTTTCAAGTATATTAATGAATTAAAGAATAGGTCATCGAGCAAGGTAAGAGAGAGAAAGTGAAGGTAATTAATAAGTCAACCACCACCATCAACAGCACCCACCCCACCACCGTCGGTCAGCAGCAGCCATCCCACCACTGTCTGCCAGCAACATCCATCCCACCACCGTCGGCCAGCAACAGCCATCCCACCATCGTCGGCCAGCAGCTGCCACCCTACCTCTGTCGGACAGCAGCAGCCAGCCCGAAACCACCCACCTCACATCCTGAAACCACCCAATCTTAACCCGAACCACCATAAAACCACCCTAATTCAACACGAACGACTCAGAAACCACCCCCTTCTCAGGGCGACCACCCATAAACCACCCACAAGTACCCCTGAACAACCCTAAAACCACCCCCGCAGCCCGAACAACCCCAAAATCACCACCTCTTAACCCAAACGACACCGAAACCACCCCCCTCAACTCTAACCACACCGAAACCAACTCCTCTTAGCCGAACCACCCCAAAACCACTAACACTCGCCATAAACCACCTAAAAACAACCACCCTCACTCAGCCCCAAAATCACCCACACTCACCCTAAACCAACCCAAAACTACCCTTACTCACCTTGAACCACACTGAAACCACCTCGAACCATCCTTAAACCTCCCCAAACTAGCCCAATCAGCCCTCAAACCACCAGATCTAAACGATTCCAAAAAAAACAAAAAAAAATAAAATAAAAAAAGAAAGAGAGAGAGAGAGAAGAGAGTGAGAAAGGACCTCAGGAGGAGGAGGCGATGACTTTGAATATGGTGATAAGCAGCGACGATTATAACGATGGTGGTAGATGCGGTGACGATGTTGACAGTGGTGGTTAGATGGGCGGCGACGTTGAGAAGGGTGGTGTTCTGATAATTCGTGGGAGTTGATTAAGTTGAATGATTTTAAGAAATGAATTGTTGTTTTAAATTAAGTTTTAGATTAGTTAAATTAGGTGAAAATATTATGTTAATAAGTTAGCTTAGGAATTTAATTAAATCTGATATAAGTAGTTAATTGTGTTTATAAGTTCTTTAGTAAGGGTATTTTTGTACTTTCATTTAAAAAACTTACTAAAATAGGAAAAAAAAAGTGGAAAGTTACAACTAACGTGTAACACCCTGTTTTGGCAAAAGTTGCAATTAATATGTAATAGATGTGATATAAACATCAAACATCATAAAAAAAAACACATCATCTAAAAAAAATGAAAGAAGTATATCTAATGTGGTTGAATGAGTGATAATTTGAGAAAGGAAGAGTCATAGAATGAATTATAAGTTATAAGCTACTTGGGAATGCTCTTAGAGCTATCTTTATCCTATTAAAATGAGAAATTTGGGAGAGAAAAAGTCATAGTATTAATTTTATAGCATAGTGCGGGATGTTCTCACATCTATCCAATCATCCAAACATATTGAAAATTCGGGAGAGAAAGAGTCCTCAGAACTTTTCTATAAATATGGAATTCTTACCATAAACATTAATTATTTGCACCAAAAAAAAAAAAAAAAACAAAAATCATTATGGCCTCATCCTCTGCAGGAAATCCAATGGTTTTCACAGCATACATTGGAGCAATGTTCAAAAATATAAAATTTTCAGACGTACCAATTAACAAAAATGTACAGTTCAACTTCCTTCTTTCATTCGCTATCGATTACACGGAATCCTCTTCTTCTCCAACCCCCACCAATGGCAAATTTAGCATCTTTTGGGATCATTACAATCTCATTCCTTCTGAAGTTTCCTCTATTAAGAACAAGCACCCAAATGTCAGGGTAGGTGTAAGCTTAGGTGGTGATTCTGTGTCTGACCACCCAGCTATTTTCATGCCCAGTTCAATAGATTCATGGGTCTCAAACGCTGTTTCTTCATTGAAGGATATTATCAATAAGTATCATCTCGATGGTATCGACATCAATTACGAGCACTTTGAAAGAGGAAGTGACACTGAGACGTTTGTTGAGTGCATTGGACGTTTGATAAAGAATCTCAAGGAGAATAATATAGTGAATTTTGTGTCAATAGCTCCATTTAATAGTGACGATGTCCAAAAACGCTACCAGGCTCTGTGGAAGAAATATGGGAAATATATAGACTATGTCAATTTTCAGTTTTATTCATACGAGCAAATCACAAGTAAATCCGAATTCATCACTTATTTTAAGAATGAAACAGAAAATTACAAAGATGGTATGATATTGGCAAGTTATATTAGTGATGGAAGCACAGGGCTAAAACCAGGAAAAGACTTCTTAACAGCTTGTGAGAAGCTTAAGGAAATGAACTTACTTCACGGAATCTTCTTTTGGTGTGCTGATGATTCAAAGGCATTGAAGTTTAAGCATGAAGTTAAAGCTCAAGAATTGCTAGCAGCACCTTGATTTCATCTTCCTGTAATTAGTTTGATTTTTTTAGGAAAGTTGCATGATTTTACTTGCTCATTAAGGATAAGGTTTTGCATGTGACAAAAAATATGTCCTTTTATTTACTGTCTTTCAAATTAAGTTATACTTGGCTGTTTAGAATCTGTCACACTTACCTACTTAATTAATGAATTTAATGTTAAGTATTCTCCCCAAATCACATTTAATTAATATTATTATTTTAGAAATAATTCAATGTGGTAAGGAAGAAATGAAAATGACAAAAAAAAAAAAAAAAAAAAAAAAAGAAAGGAATGCATTTTGGACGGTTGGGGACTGGGGTACTGGACTTGAAAGTCCAAGTGTTAATTGCTTTTGAGGAGTAAATGTTTGTAAGAACATTGACTTGTATTTTACTTTGGGGTATTGAGTTTATGGACTGAAAATCCAATTGTTTTTTTTTTTTTATTTTTTTTTTTTTTTAAAAAAACGGTAAACTACTGGAAGGGCTCCCCACCCTATCACATTATATGGTAAAATTCCAATTAATGGTAGAAGGTACAATGTGAAATAGAAGTCCACATTAAATAATGGTAGGCAGTGCAAGTATAAATGGATATCTGGCCTTTGTGAAGGGTGCGTGCGTGTGAAAAAGCCACACCACCGTGGATGTGTGGATGCTAGCAAAATGTAGAAGGCTAGCAAAGAGTAAGACAAGACGCACAGTGGTGTGTGACTATCTGTGTGTGTGAGAAGGCACACATCGTGAAAAAGTGAGGCTAGCAAAGTTGACTTTGGGATATTGCTAGTGAAGTTGCTTTCGTCCTTGGAGATCAAGACTGTGGGCTTTTTCCTTATTATTGAGGAGCGGTTTTCCACGTAAAAATCTTATGTGTTGTTTTTTAAAGTCCTGTATTTTATTATTTTTCTCGATATTGTGTCTATTACTCCGTCCCCAAAATCGGTTAATTTATAATTCTAATAAGAGTTGAGAGACTTGTTTTAACAATTGTTAATAAGCCTATAGGGCTATACGTGTTACGTCAATTTTGAGATTATATTACAGGTGGTATAGAAAGTTCGTTGAAAATATGGATATCATGAAATTTATTTATTTATTGTTTTTTTTTTCCTGTGATTCAATATAATGAATCTTATCAAAACAAACTATATTTCTACTAAATAAAAAATTAAAAAAAAAAGGAAAGAAAATGCTGGTATATTTTATCACAAATTCTTTAAAGTGGTTGGCGACATTGTGTGGCCACTCATCCTTCAGGTTACTTTATTAACATTATAAGTGTTACTCGATCAGTAATACATGGGTTAATTCGTCACTGTTGTAGGATTACTCAGTCAGTGTTCTAAGATAACTCGGTCAGTATTAGAGAGATTACTCGGTTAGTATTATGATATGGCCAGCCATGCACAAGACGTGCTGCTTTTATTTTATAAATTAATAATTAAAATAATACGAAGTAATAAATAAATAAAATAAAATATGAAATACCTCAATTTATTTTAAAAAAAAAAAATAATCTGTGTGACCAAAATCAACGGCTATAGCTCGTTGACTATTTAAAGAATGCGGACTTAGTTTAAAATCTACAAGTAGATATACATTATTCATTACATAGGGGCTGATGCCTGATGGGCACATGGGACATGGCCCAAGTTGGCAAACACGCAGACCACCAACAAACAAAATAAATAAATTATGCTTTGATCTAAATTCGAACCGTAACCACCAATAAATAAAGGTTATACACTTATCATCTCAATCAACTTTTATTAGTGTTTTAAATTTCACATTAATATCATTATATATTCTTTTAATTTAGAGGTTATTTAATTTATTTATTCTTCACAAGATTAAAAAATAAATACATATGAGGTAAAAAAAACCGTAACATCCTAGGAAACGCTCGGATCACACACTACTATACAAACAGTTGAACATAATTATCAAATTAAAGAAGTACAAAGTACAAACCAGCAATTCGGGGCATCGCCCGGGACACACACTAGTTATTTATTAAAAACAGACAAAGTCATATAACTTATAAAACATTATTAGGAAACCGAGATACAATCTGGACCCCCACAAGCTCCTCTAGTTGTAACAAAGTCTATATCCTAGTGAAGATATGTGCAACTATAAGTGCCCCAATTTCTTGACTCTTTGAAAATTTCTAGACCCGTTTCAGCAATGCAAAAACCTCCTTCTCTAATTCTCTAAGAGAAAAAAAAGGATAAAGAAAGGAAACCTTACCCTATCGCCTGATATCTAGCTTCATACTTGACCCGCTTACGATGAGCAGCATTTGTCACAACTCGCCCACGAACAAAGTCAAACAACCCAGAGAATCAAAGGAGAAGACCATGTCATGGCAACACACACAACGTGACTCCACTCCCAAGAATAAAGTAACATATCAGTAGATTTAAGGGCCCCATCGTTCCCCCGCAGTCAACCCAATGTCAACCTCCTTTCTTGTTGAAACATTAATAAGGGTATCTCGAACAACATAATACCGGTGTTTAATACCTACAATACCGACACGAAACTGCATGATCATCGAAAATATCCTCAACTAGCAAAACTCTTGAGCAAGCAGAGCACGTCGTCGAAATAAAGAACAAAGGAACACCCACCCAATAATACAACACACAGCGATGAGTCTTAGCGTTCATCGTCTGACTCAACCCCAAAATATGTACCGGTTGAAGCCAAGCCGAGGTGTGTTCCCCCTAATATAACTTCCACAAAGCTGACTAATGAGTAGATTAAAAAAAACGTGGATTCTGTAGATGAAATAACCTTTGTGAAATATATATCTACTAATTTTTTTCATGAGTTTTGGGGCAGCAACCTCACTAGGATTACTTAAAATTTCAGATTCCACAGCTCTATTAAACAAATTGATCGCCTCAGCAAAGACACGACTAGAACCTATAATATCAGCATCTTGTAATAGCTTAGACTGCAAGCCAGCAGACTGCAAACGAGAAGGGAGAAAAGTATAATGCCGAATATCACTCGTGGAATAAAAACCAATCCCTCCAAGCGCAAAAGGAAAGGTAGCAAGTTGCCACTGCCAATCACCGCCAAATCCTGGCCTCGAAGTAGTAACAATACGCTCCAAGAAAGACCAAAGATCTAGCCCCATGAAAAGGGCGCCGAGCCGCCAAAAAACACAAGGAGGACAAATACGCCAGGCAAAGTAAAGTTTTGAAATGGTCGTACACGTCCTAAGTAACAACAACTCACACTAAGGATCACGACCAAGTTTATCAACCTTATCAATAATGAGCACAATGGTTTTGTTCACTCTCTTCATCACAAGCTCAACCCTAAAAGTAGAGTCGGAACTAGCAAGACCGCCAAGCAATAATTTAACACCATGCTGGCTGAGCAATGTCAAGGGGAAATACACCCGCAAGCTTGCTTCAAGGGTCTTCTGTAGGCCAAAAAACTTTAGTTTTTTCCACGTTGAGGTGTAGTCCGAAATGAGGTCCATCCTCCATAAGCAATTTCAGAACCTTCTCCATCACCAAGGTATCACCAATAAGCCATCATTCAAATACCATGCCTGAAGACATACGTCAAAAGAGTCTGATTTTACACACTAAGGGATGTAAAACTAATGCAAAAAGTAGAAGACCAAGGGGATCACGGCCGTTGCACCCCCTGAGACGACCATAAGGTGTGCTCCCCATAATACAATCTTACTGGATTAGAGTATCAGAATTCAACCCAACGCGAAATGGCCTAACACCGAAGACGAATTTCACATAACATGACTACTCAATCAACTAAATTGAAGGCATTTTGAAAATCCACCAACAATATAAAAAGACCAACATAAGAACTGTGATCCTCGATCAACCGATTCACAGCATGTAGAGTAGCCTCACCACCTGCAAACACCCCAACACCAAATTGAAGACCATCACAATAACGTCCCAAAGATTGTCCAATCAAAACAGCACCAACCTTCGAAACCAAACGCCGCCAAATAGTACCCACGACTATAGGACGAATACCACCACCTGGTTTGACAAGAGATGTGAAAGGAGCATTGGTAATATACTCACCCAAGACCTTAAGACATTTCCCATAAAAAAAAAAGAGTTAAATAATTTTAAAGATACAAATTTAGAAAGTTTTAACGAGATCCACATGATATACAGAAAACACAATATTACTTCATCCGTACAAGTCATAATTTATAATTACAGAAGATCATATAAATATTGTTAAAATCAACATGATATTAAAAGAATGAATATTATTAATTATGGCTGAAAAACATAAAATATTATACGGAGTAGTTCTATTTGATAAATTTGTTATTTGCTCCCAAAAACGAAAAGTCGTACCGAAACACAAGTACATATCCAAATCCGATATCAACACGCTAAACTTCATTGCCACAAAAAACAAAAAAAAAAAAAATATTTAGCTGTTCTCGGCGTTCTATACAATTCAGATTTTTTATTTTTATTTTTTCTGAATAAAACAAAAAACCATAAAAGCTAAAAGAATGTTACAAATGGATTCAGAGCTGAAAGAAGCGGCATGCTCAGGAAATGTAGATATCCTGAGAAGAGCTGTTAGCTCAAAACCAATTGAGTACTTCCTTACTATATCTGATGATGGTCTGGCTGGTAATAATATCTTCCACCTCGCGACAAGAAGTGAGCGATCGGAGTTTCTCAAAGTAGCTTGGGAAATATTACCGGAACAGGTCCTACAAAAACTCCTCTCTCAGACAGACAAGAATGGTTGTACACCTCTTCATACGGCGGCTGGGCTGAACCGATCGAGGCATATCAGCCTTGAAATTGTGAGACTCATCCTCGGGTTTTACAAATCAGGGGTGACGGTAATTAATAAACCATGGTTAGAGCATAATCATAATGGTTGTACACCGTTACAGTTGGCTATTGAGGTGGTTAATGAAGAGAGTGCAATGGAGATATTGTCGATGGATATAGAGTTGCTCTGCAAGATGGTAGACAACGAGGAAAACAGTCCGCTTTTTCTTGCTGTTAAAAATGGGTGCAATAAGGTTGCTGAGAAGATATTGATGTCCTCTTACTCTTACAGTCTTAGTGGCAAAGAGGATTCTACTCCCCTTCATTTTGCACCAAATTCTTCAGGTTTGTATTTCTTGGTCTTTTAGTTCTCGCGTGTTTGATTGATTGTTTGATTCTTATTCATCTTAATCTTATTTATTGCCCTTTGTATTACTAGTATATAAAATCACTCGTTCCCCACTCACCCAACGGCTAATTTAGTATAGGTTCAGCTAAATGCCTGAAGCAATGCTAGATTATGGGGAAATTAGTAAATTTGAAATTATAAAACAAAGATAAATTAAAACTAATTCCACGGTTCAGTGGTCAGTTGTACAAATGAATTGCATAAACTCTAGCTGGCACGCTGGTTCAAACTTCAAATCCCACGCCAAATCAATTTTTGGTTTTGTTATTTTTTATTTTTTTTAATTTTATTTTTTTTATATGTAACTTGACATTTTATAATCTAGTGAAGTCAGAAGTATGTCACTTGTATTATCTAGTGTCTACTTGTATGATATTTAATATTTCTAAAGTTCAAGTATCTAACAAGAATCTATATGACTATATTTTCCCTAACACATAAAATACAAAATATGGTAAAAAAAAAGTGTATATGAATAGTGCAAAATTAAAAACATTGTGATTCTAAATGAACTGATGATATATATTGACGGTAATAGTCACATATGGCGAGTTTTGTTTATAACTTTAACAGAATGTTACTAATGATTAATAAGACAAACAATTACATGAATCGAAATAATTATGTTGAAGTTAAAAAAAAAAAAAAGGTCGATAAACTTTTTTTTTTTTTTGCAAATGAGGGAAGATCCCAAACAAAAACAAATAAAATTGAACTACAAACTAACTCACTAGCCTGGAGGTGGTCACCCCAATGGCATCCTCCAAAAGAAGGCTCTTTATTTCTATCGGAGGTGAATCGAAATAAACAATCCTCTCTTGAAGCACCACTCCCAAATTGGCTAAGCGATCAGCTACCTTATTCCCTTCTCTAAAGCAATGATCAAAACGAAAGTTACAACCAAAAAACTGAATTAAACTACGACAACTATTTAGGATGTGGAAGGCTTCTCCTCCATGATGGTCTGGATTCTGTAGAGCTTCAATGCAGGCTTTATTGTCCATTTGTAGTTCCAGCTTGGTGATTCCTAAATTCACTGCCATTCAGAAGTCCTCTTTCTGTTGCTAGAAGTTCAGCTCTAAAGGCAGTACAAATACCAAAGTTTGCAACAAAACTTCGTACATAATTCCCTGCCTCATCACACAGAATACCACCTCCTCCAGCTAGCCCGAGTGCACCTTTGGCTGCTCCATCAGAGTTTAGAGCAGTCCAGAAACTAGGTGGGTTCAGCCACAAAATGGAAATTTCCCTCTTGGAACGAGCAAGCCGCGCTTTGGTAGTGTCTCCTCCCATAAGTGTAGTCCAAACCTCATCAATACAGGAGCGTAGAAAATCTCCTATATTGGTAGGCATCTCAGCATCTTTGTCAAACATCACTTTGTTGCGCCATTACCATATCCACCAAAGGGTTGTGGCAAACGCTGTTGGCCATTTTTCATAATAAATTAACCCATTTGCTTCAAGGTTACGAGTCATCCATGTGTGTAGTCTCCAGTCCAAAAAGAAGGGTAAAGAGCTGTGCCCCCTAGTTCATTCCAGATAGATTTTGAAGCAGGGCAATCACGGAGAAGGTACATCAAGGTTTCATCCGTGTTCTAAGTGCAACGCTTGAATCTTGGATCGTCAGTCAGATGTCGTTTAAGCCTGTTCACATTGCACAGAACTCTGTCGTGTAAGACTAGCCACAAGAAAGTTCTCACACGATATTGAACCATAGTATTCCAAGCAATCTCCCATTTAGGATCTGTTGGAGAATCACTTTGTTGCTTCATTATTTGCAAAGCAAATTTGATACAAAAACCTCCCTGCTTTGAGCCCCTCCAATAAATTAAATCTCTGGCTTCAGGATCTCCTGTCAAGTTATTAGCAGCTATGAGTTCCAAGTAATAATCAGGGAGAAGATGGACAAATACATCTCATTTCCAGCCTTCTCCACTATTCCACATCTCCTCCACAGTAGCTCCCTCAATGTGACTAGGAATACACCCCCACAACAGCTTCTCTAAGAGGAGTAATAGCAGCCAGCAGTGATCCCAGAATAAAGTAGTACGGCCATTCCCACTGTAGTAGCTGAACCCTTCTTTAGCCAAGAAACATTATATGTAATTGCCCTGCACACGTTAGACATGTTAGAGATTAAAATGAACATGTCTATATCGCATAGGCCTTTGCAATATTTCGCGCGAAGAACATGAGACCATAAGGCAGAAGGTTCTGAAAGCACTTGCCATCCTAATTTTGTCAGGAAGGCCGAATTGGATTGTCTAGCTGAACATAAGCCCAGCCCCCGTTTGTTACGTGGCTGCTGCAAAGTATCCCACGAGATGAGATGAATTTTGTTCTTTTCATCCGAACCACCCCAGATGAATCTTCTCGTTTTTTTTTTATTTTTTTTATTTATTATTTTTTTTATCTATTTCATCACAGATGTTACGTGGGATTTTTGCTGTTTGGAAGGAATAATTTTCCATTGTTGTGAGGGTAGATTTAGTAAGCGTGATACGGCCCGCTAATGACAAGTATTTGGTCTTCCAACCAGTAAGGCGTCTGTTAATTTTCTAACATAAGTGAGCAAAAGTTTCACTTGTCACCCTACTAGTTAAGGTCGGCATCCCAAGATACATGCCAAGATCTTCAGTTGCTTCCATTCCAAGAGCAGAGCAAATAGGAGCCTGACTGTCCAATGTAACATTTCGAGAAAAATAAATTCTCAATTTTTGTAAGCTAACCTTTTGGCCTGATGCTACTCCAAATCTTTTGAGACAATCCTTGATTACTTCCGCTTGGTCTGGTGACGCCTCCGCAAACAATATGAGATCATCCGCTAAGAACAAGTTGGATAATAAAGGACACTCAATTCCTAGAAATAAAAGCTAACACTCACTCAAGAATAACTTCGAGTATTATAACTTTACTCCGAAGTGTAACACTTAAGAATACAAAGTTAAGAACAAGTGTACACTCTCGTATTTTTCCCTCACTTTAAGTAATAAACACACTATGATTGAATGAGAGAAAGTATAACTCTAGAATAGCATAAAACTTTTGAAAACTTCGATGATCATTCTCAGCAGGTCTTCATGCTATTTATAAGGCTTCAAGACTGATTTCAAACGTTGTGAACCTGACTTCAAACAGTTTGAAATTCTTCAACAGATTTCCTTAAATCTTGCTTCAACAGAATTTTCAGCCCTTTTGAATTTTGAACGTTTGCTAGCTGTTTTTGATTCTCTGAAGAGAATTATGTTCAACGATAATTATTACATGCTAAATCACAAATTTTATCACTAAATCTAAACAGCCAAAATAATACAAAATAATCTAAGTAAACTGGTATGATAACATAAACCAAAATACATAGTCCAAGTCCACGCATAGTTAGGTTTGACTTCCATCAAAAATTCAGTCAACTCATCAAGGTGGAGTCTTCATATCTTTTTCCTTTTATGGTCCCTATCAAAATTCACTATTAGTTTTTTTATGTTTTTTTCCCCCTCACATTCATTACTTTTCAATAAAATATTAACCCCATTATATTTCTTTCACAATTTTTTAATACTCAAACTACCCCCATTTACCTCTTATTTTGTTTAAGTCAATTAAAAAGCCTAAAAGTATGTGCCGGTCAAAGTGTAACAGTTATTGAAACACGAAGGGAGTATTATAAAATTCTCTTTTTGGACTATACCCGACCCTATGATTTTCCCACTAACTATACTTTATATTATAAAATTCTCTTTTAAGACTTTGTCCTATGATTTTCCTAAAACTTATATGTCCACCCTACTACTGCAATAATTACAAAACGGAGGGAATATATAATTACATACATTACCCCACTTTATACCTTTTAACACACTAAACTTTCTAATATACCCTTTAAAATTGATGCTCACATTTACTCCACATGCTTTTGCATTTTTTGTCACTAGAAAAAAAATATATTGTAATTTTTATAATTATATTCCCAATGCACTTCACACATACGAGTAATATTTTTTATACTTCCTTCATTTGCATAAAACCCGTGAAATATGATAAACAAGCACTTAAAATGGGACGAAGGGAGTATTAATTATGCAATTTCTGTCAAAAAATTGTTATTAAAGTCGTTCTAAGTTATTTTGTTATACTATGCTGTATGTAGGGGTGTTCAAAAATCAGTCTAAACCTGAAAAAAGATTGACCTTGAACTGAAACGAACTAAAGAAACTGGTCTGGTCGCCAGGTCAAGATATTAATATTACCAGTGCTATACTAAACACCATAAAAACTAGACTAAATTTTTTTTGTAATGTTTAATTTTTATGTTCAATATACAAATACTTTTATATTATGAATTAGGTTAAAATCCCGTGCAATGCACGATTATTAAATTTTTAACAATAATATTACAAAATACTACATACAGTATGATTTGGGTAAAAATACCCAAGCCATGTGGCCCAATCAGAAGGGGACACATGTCACCCTAAGAGAGGCCCAAAAAGCACCATCACCGGTTGACACGTGGCACTCCCAATCATCAGGGAAAAAAGACGGCTTTCAAAGGCCCAAATCCCGAGAACGCCTTAAAAACGGCGCAACCTATTTACCTAGGTTGATGACCTAGAAAAGGGGGCACTGATTCCCATAACCCCATAATAGGGAGATTTACCCCAATTTAGGGACACATTCACTCATTACATCACAATCAATTCTCTTACAACAGACAAAAACTCCTGCTATCGGGATCCGAGAAGATCTACTTTTACTTTACGCACTTTTTACTCTATTTCGACTTTTACTAACTTGATCGTTGGAGGCGGAACTCCGCACAATCGGGCCTTTTGTTTGTTTGCAGGTACAGGCGAATGGAATCCAGTCTTGGTGACGTAACTCTCCCGCAGGACACATAAAAAATCCCGAAACATTTGGCGTCGTCTGTAGGGAGAGT